CTGGCGTCGGCAGCATCTCAGCCGTCGTCCGCCCGTGCTAATGAAAGCCATAAATCGCAGCTGAGAAAAACGGGGCCGCACGGCGGCAATTAATTCTCGATATGAGCGCTTGCTCCCTCCCCTCCACCTCGACGCTGAGCAGCTTCCGCCACCGCCACCGCCGCTGCCGAGCGCGTCAGCCGCCCTTGGAATATTAACAGACGGTCGACGATGGGACAGACGAGGGGACCGGATGAAATGGGGGGATGGGAAGGGGGTCTGCGGTGAGCACGCAGTTTCAGGGTACGAAGAACAGGAGAAGGAGACAAGAACAGGTGCAGGAGGTAATGTATGGGGCGAGGGAGGAGACAAGCGAGAAATGGAAGGTGAATGTCACTAGGATGGGAATGACGGAATAAAGACATCGCTGGAGCTGCAATCTCTTTTCGTCGCCGTCAAAGTTTTAATCCCAGCTGCATTATAGAAGGAAGACATCAGGACGAGAATAAGGGATGTATTCTGTCTCCATGATCTAGTTTTCAACATTCCTTTTCTAGCAAAGTAATTCGTGAAACGGAAGGAGTGGCAGCAAATCCGCAATTGCATGGTAGGTATTACGATAAAATGTTTCTAGAATTAATATAGTACCTATCAAGGCCATTATTTCAGAGATATATTTTCCATGTTTTCTTAACCCGTAACTGGTACGATGGGATTTGTGCGACCCCGTGATATCTTTGTCAATGTCTCCTGGATTACCGCACTGAAGGTAAATTTTTCGTTTAACTTACCTGCAAAGGCTATTCCGAATGACTATTACGCAGTATAATGCCCAAGCAAATGTTTATGAGTGGCAAGAATAATAAACTCTGATGCTATTCTAAACTCATGGTTACTGATTTTTTCAATAAGATGAACCTACGATACATTACATGAGCAGTTCTCATCTTGATGATGATTTTGGAGTAACTTATCATTTTAAACACACCGTACGGAGAATATTCAATCAAAAAATTATATTTTCTTATTAAAAGAAACACATTGTACAAGCATAAAAATGAACGACTATTAGGTAATATAATTATTATTTGTTTAATTTGTGGCTCAATATCTCCTTCATTTGTCACTCGAATGTAATACATCATTTACAGGACCATTAAAATTCTCAAAATTCTTCTTATTTACCCAAAAATGGCTTTGACAGATCGGATTCATCACGAAACGACCACATGTATCAGTATTCGAATTCTGTCTAAATTATATTTCACATTACGCTTCGAATTCACACAGACTCAGAAGATAAATTAGTATCTAAAGCATCATAGAAACGTGTACAGTTCACGAATCACCGAGAGCGAGAACGCTAACGCAACTGGCGCGATAGGTTTGTGAGACCCTCCCGGAATTATAATCGGCTGTCAATCGGAGAAGGTGAGAGCCTCTGTGAACTCTCTCCTTCCTGTAAACACCTGTAAACACTCTCTCAACTTAAAGGTAGACGAAACTGATAACCTTAGTTTCGAAGATAACGCGAGTTCTGTGAAAGAAAATAAGAGCGAGGATTTCGTAGATCCCATCGTACTTGATAGACGTTAACATTATTTTTAATCATTAACTCAAAATTGTATCTTGTTCATTTTCAACATCGAATTATGTTGATTTGCAAGTAACTAATAATTTACAGTTAGCAACCTACATTATCACATTAAAAGTATCATTTTGAACAGCGTGAGACGCTGGACTCATCTCATTATTTTCCACCAAACTGTATTATTTTTAATAATATTACTGAACTTGTAAAATTGTATCTTAATTAATATTAACTTATTTCTGAACTATTTTTACACAATAAATCTTGGTGGAATATACTAAACATGCTTGAATTCATAAAATAATCCAAAATATGGTGAAAATATTTATGGATGTTCAAAATACTCTAGAAAATCTCGATGCATCAACGGAAAAACTATGATGAATTTTTATGTTATCATTTTACATCCACATATCAATCGACGTTGAAGTCTAGAAAACAATCTTAATTATACATACATAATCGCTGGAACGTACGCAGTTGAACATTCATTTCAAGTAAGCAATCAATAGTACATTATGACATTACTGTAACCGATGTCATCGTCTTCAATACCAGTAGGTCGTACAAAGAAAATATCCCACGAAATATCTTCGTATACAGGAAAATGAAAGCAGCACATTCGTAAATGCATATACTTTAGCAAAGAATACCTAATAAATACTATTTTTTTGAAGTTAACATTATGTCAAAAACAGTACATTGACTTTAAAAGAACTGGGGAACGAAATCAACAATAATCATTATAAATCTCGTAAAAATAATTTTCTTTAAGAAAATTTGATTTTCTGTGTTATGACCAATGCTGAAACTGCCTGGGTCATCTCCACTTTCATTTACTCGGCGCAAGCAAACAGCACAAGACGGCCACGCGGAGGATGCGAAGTGAAAGGAGAAGCGAGAGGTCGCCCTCTACTGGAAAACAAACACGGCCGCTTCCACGCTCTCCTGCCACTGCCTTCGCCTCCACCCCTGTTTCCTTCACGGCTAACGAAGATGTAGGAGAATGGGGACTGTGTTTTCGAGCGGAACGGCTCCGAGAATGAAAAAAAAAACTCCGCCATGGGTCGAATGGGAACCGGCTGAGTCGTCGTTCAACAGCACATCATAAAAACAACTTTTCAACTCATTTACTCCGTGAGAGCATAAAAACAGTCATCAATCAACGTATTAATATAGGAATATTACAGCTGCGAATGGGTATTGAAAAACAGAGCAGCATGCCTTAGAGGGTGAATTCGAAGTAGGCGCTCCATTCCGTAAACGTATAACGGGTTGCCTACACGGCTCCTGGATTTGTGAATTCGTCAAGGGAAACTCTCACTTTAAAGTAAACTAATTGTAACCTGCTTTACAATGACTCAAAATAAGCGATGGGCAACTCACAGTGATAGTACCATATCGCAAACTGTATTAAAATTTAAATAAATAAAACTAAAACATTTAAAAAACAAAAACAAAATCCACGAATGTAAACTCAATGTTTTTAGCAAAAGTGACTGAACATTTTGCAGATCTTCCCACATTTAAGGAAACTGGCTTCTGTGATTTGCACATAACTAATAAGGTACAGTTACCAAATTACATTAACAAATTAAAAGGAATATTTCGAATAATCGTGAATATATAACCAATCCGTACCCCCAAAAGCTGAGTTATATATGAGTACTTGAGATCGTCAAAATGTTTGAAAGTAAAAACAAATCTCATTTGCAGAAAGTTGTCAATACCGCAGCTTACATAATCTTTAAATAAAAAGAGTGCGTCTTTAAACGTCAAAGTTATTGAAAGTTGGTTGGTTTATTACGGTTCACGATAAAGAATATTTCAACTCAATGTGAGTTGTGAGTGACCGCTTTCTGAATCACAACCTATGTCATCAAACTATTCTGAATGTAGAGTTGGGTGCACTCCGAAGACTGCCGAGCAAATGGACTCTCTAGACCAGTGGTGCGGCTACCTCCAGTTTTCTATCAGCGGCGACCATAAACTTGGCGAAGGTGATGGGAAAGGATCTAAGGCCCAAAGGTCGACGAGTTTTATCCCTCTGCAGCCCCACCCCGTAATGAAGAGAAGCAGAAGGCAGAGAGGGAAGGGGGGCGGGCGCGGGCCGAGCGGAGCGGAGCGCGGACCAAATTGAGCGGACGCCCGGGGCGGCAGCATCGATCGTCGGAGCGATCCGCGACAAGGCACGGCTGCTCCCCACCGCCGCTCGCCTCCGACGCCTCACCGCTGCGTTCGCTGCGGCGCCCCGGGCGCCTGTATTTAATTAACGGCGCGACACGTTTACCCAGCCGCGGACTGTCGGAACCTCCGCCCGCCCCGCCCAGTCCCGCCCCGCTCCGCTGCCGCTCCGACACTGTCCTCCGCCCCCTCTCCTGACGGAGCGGGCCCCTCCCCTCGCGCCTACGGATTAATTATCGAATTCCAGCCGGCTATCGCAAGGGTCGCCTTCCGCTGCTGAAACGACAGCCCGCCCCGCCGCCCCGCCCCGCCCCCGCCCCGCCCCGCGCCCGCCACGCCCCGCCCCGCCCCGCCGCCCCCGCCACCGAGCCCGCCCCGCCGCGCCCCTCCCCGACACGCCACGCCACGCCACGCCCCCTCTCCGCGCCGCCAGGTAATGCAGTTACGGCGACACTACTCCGTGTTAATCCAATGAATATGCACAAGCGGTGCACGACCGCGCCGAAGCTCGCCCTGGCGGTGGCGGGGAGAGGCGACAGAGATGGCGCGGGCGAGGCGAGGGAGTCTCTTCGTAGGGGAAAAAGCGCGACGAGGCAGGGACGGCGTCGGTGGTGGCGGGCAGGGGAGGTGGGTGCGAGGGTCAAGGTCGTATCCCAGAAGGGCGTGGTAGGGGAAAGGCAGGGATGTCGCGTCCGAGAACGCGGTCAAGGGCAGCGGTGGAAAAAGCTCTGCAGCGGTGGTGGTTGTGCCGACTGGCGCATCTGCGCCGCCCGCGGTGCCGGGCGTTTGGACCGCGTGCAGCGGCAGACGAGGTTTATATGGTGGATGATCGGGACGCGTCTACTTTGCATAAACTATTACACGTTTAGAATTAAATACAACGAAGTATTGGAGGCAAGTAATGTAATGATGAGAGTTTTGTGAAAACAAATTGTTCAAGACATAGCTTTTATGGATTACAGTATTTATTAATTATAGACAGTACATTCGTAATATTTTTATATTACAAGGCACAAACTGTCTGTAAATAATAGACACTGTAACCTACAAAATTAGACAAACGATCACGAATATAACATATATTCTTTAGCTTGTGCTGTGGCGTAAGGTCGTTAGTAAAAGTACATGACTGTTCTGACACCTTGTTATTAATACGAATGATCATTTTATGTGATATGAATTTTACAATTTTTAGTGATTCTCAGCCATACAATAAATATGAACATACAAACCCTTGTGAGCGATATTTTCTAAAATTTAGGAACAGTGTTTCATCGAATTCTTCACCAAATGTGATGATTTATTCATTCATTCCATGACTAGATTACCTTCATCTTCAATCATTTTTTCACAATATCCGAGTTGCTTATTTCATTGAATTCACACAATGTTCAAACGTAGGGTATTGAATACATAGTTTAAAAATTGAACTCCACTATTTATTCGTATGAAAATTATCGTATTCTACTGCGATGTTCTGGAGTGTTCTATGTAAATGTGTTCAAGGTTATAGGTGAAATCGTCGCCTCAGGTATGTGGTGTTGAATCTGATCAAATTCAAAGTCAATTAGCACAGCATAATCTATCCAAGCTCTGCAAGCAAATTACCATATTAGGGATCCCCTAAACAGCGCATTTGCAATCGAAAACAGCTATGGAATCGGAACGTACGACAAACATACGAATCTCCGGAATGAGAAAAAAGTCCCTGGACGTATCTCGATTCGTAGTTTGTTTTCCTAGCGTTTGAGTAATAAAATCTAAGGAGTTAATAATAAAACAAATTACAACGTAACTTACATCAAAAATACATGCTAAAATCCACATATTCAGAAAATGTACAGTAGAAAAGTTATTTGAACGTTTATCTTTCACTTAAGAAATAAAAAGCTCGATGTACTACACTCTTCACGCTCATTGTATTACAAGTTGCGTTAGGGAACAAACATTCCAAATAATCAATTTAGTTCAATACAACGCAGAGATACACAGCATTACTGTGAATACAGACCATTCTCATAACTGAAGAATTGCGTTAGGATCATGGTTTTACGCAATTGGTTTGATAGTTTGGTAGGCATGCATGAAAAGCACACTTCCAGCTTAGCTCCGCACGTACTCACCCGGTCTTGGCGAAGTTGGCCCAGTAGCGCATCATGCGCCGCGCCAGCTCCACCTCCTGGGGGCTGTAGGGGTGCTCGGGGTTGAGCGGCTCTCCGAAAATGTAGTTGATCTCGTCGCCGTGCATCACGCCCGTCCAGCTGGGCCACGGGTTGCTCTGCGAGCGGTGCCGGAAGTAGTACATGTACACGTTGTTGCCCGTCTCCGCGTAGCGGTGCGCGAACTCGTTCACGTTGCACGTGAAGTGGTAGTCGCCCACCATCTTGTCGAGCGCGTCGCGGTTGCCGATGGGGTCGTCGGGGTTGGCCCAGTCCGTGTACTCGAACACGATGGCCTGCCGGCCCACGGCGTTCACGTACGGGTTCAGCTCGTGCACGGCCTTGAGGTACTCGGCGCGCGACACATACACGTTCTCCTCCTTCTTGAAAAGGTTCGTTAGGTAGTAGATGATGAAGTAGTAGCCCTCCTCCGTGTTGGAGCCCATGAGGATGTTGGTCTTCTTGAAGTTCTTAGAGGCGAGCGAGCGCGTGGGGTGGTCGTCGAGCAGCGCGCCGTCCACGATGGGCACGAAGGGGAACTCGCAGATGCCCAGCGTGCCCCACTCGTTGTTGACGAGTTCGGTGGCATCCTTGCTGCGCAGGCAGTCCACCACCTCGCGCAGCTGCGAGCGCTGGTGCGGGCAGCCCACCGCCTCGGCCAGGCGCAGGCCGCGCAGCACCGACTCCTCGCGCGTGATGACCGCCCACGGCGCCGTCGCCGCGCCCGACTGCATGATGGCCTGCGCACCGCACGCCCGCCCCGCCGCTCTCGCCACTCGCACCGCACGGCCCGCACGGCCGCGCCGCCGTCTCGTGCTTTCAACTTACGGCACAACACTTTTCTCCAAATCAACATTATTATTATTATTATTATTATTATTATTATTATTATTATTATTATTATTATTATTATTATTATTATTATTAATATTATGTTTATTATTATTATATTATTATTACTATTATTATTATTAATATTATGTTTATTATTATTATTATTATTATTATTGTTATTGTTATTTGTTCGCGAAGTGACCGTCTAGGACCACGCGGACACACATATTTACGTTCTTTAAAGTACAGCTATGTTAACTTACAGATCAACGTATTGACATCAGTATTTACTAATGGGTACATATATAGTTTCTTGCCAAATATATTCTTAACGAATAAGAGATATTACCGACTTACCGAGGCTCAGTAACATTTATCCCGTGGCAAGCGTATCTAATTCCCTTTTGGGGAGATCAGCATTATGCTGAATCGAATTTTTATCCCCCAGTGTTGCTAATCCTAGGGAATTGAAGATGGAATGATGATAATGAATGGACGACACACACATACAGACATACACAAACACGCCCATGCTTGAGGCGGAACTCGAACCCGCGATCTTTCCGTCCATGATAGTCACGGTACTACTGCCTTAGTGGTCTCGGTTATCCGGATCGGCATATTATTATTATTATTATTATTATTATTATTATTATTATTATTATTATTGCAAATTACTGAAATATGAACAGAGGTCTCTTGGACTGAAGGTTTGCTCATTTTCGAAGGAAAGCTTTAGCAACAGCATTGTTTACAGAATTATATTTTAAAGATTAATGTTCCACTGTTCTGAATCTAAGTTACTTTAAATTATTATCTCTTATTCGTCAAGAATATATTTGGCAAGAAACTATATATGTACCCATTAGTAAATACTGATTTCAATACTTTGATATGCGAGTTAACATAGCTGTACTTTGAAGAACGTAAAGGTAGTGATAATGAATGAATTTCTAATAACTCTTAGAAAACATTTTTGTGAACAGTCCCTAGAAAAACAGAAGAAAAATATTCAAGTTTCAAAGCTAGATAACGTATACACGCATCGATAAAAAACTGGATTCACTGAAAAAAGACAGATGAAAAAGAGAAAACAAAAGAAGTATTCATTGCAGTAAATGGAGTGAAAAATCCAATGAAAATGATAGTAAATGGAAATGAATTTAAAGGGATAGGACAAATAAATTAAATTCAGTTACAACTACTTTCATTTGCTGAAGATCCTCAACGTCTCAGTCCTCATAATTCAAAAAGATATTAATGAAAATTTAGAGCCTTTTTAGATAATTACTGAATTTTTCTGGCAGAAATTAAGACGTAATACTTTTTAGGACACTCCTAGATTAATTTTCAAAATATAAGGGACCATTGTTTTGAGGTAGAACATTTATGTGAATTTAAAATTCTCGGGGTCGATTCAAACTGATTCTTGAATCGACGTCACTAACACTGGACCCAAATTAGAGAGGAAACGGCCGATATAGTAGTTATTCTTTATTGTTTCACATAATGACAAACCAAGAGGTCAGTCTCAGCTTATTCGCTATTGCAGACTGTCTGGTTACATAATACATCGCCATCTGGCGAGAAATACAAAATAAATTTATTACATTTTCACGTATTTACAAGACTAACGGATGGTTGCATAAACGTTTGATATGGAATCCATAATCTTATTGGTTCTATAAAATAGTCCATAGCGGCAAAACGTGTTTCTAGAATTACCTATAAGAATTTCTCTAACTTATAGGTCCTGAAAAGTGTCTACAAATGCTTATGGATTCAGCAAATACGCAACATGGCGGCTATGCGCTCTGCTACAGCTGTTTTGTTTATTTGAGGTTATTGGTGGTACCTGGCGTATTGTGCATTGTATGAACATGCACAATATATAATTCAAGTGTTGGGCAAGGGTCGTAAGCCAACATAGCGCCACGCACCTGGCTGCGCGTCCTCGCCTGTGCTGGAGGGAGCGGCGCCACCGTACCTGCGAGAAAAGGTTCCTCGACAGCGGCGACAGCAGGTGGATGGAGACGCTCACGGCGCCGGCGCTCTCCCCGAACAGCGTCACGTTGTGCGGGTTGCCTCCGAAGGCGGCGATGTTGTCGTGCACCCACTGCAGCGCCATCAGCTGGTCGTAGAGGCCCGCGTTGCCCGGCACGTCCTCCGTGTCCATGAAGAGGAAGCCCAGCGACGCCACGCGGTATTGCATGGACACGAGCAGCACGTTCTCCTCCGACACCAGCATGCGGTGGTCGTACACGTCGAGCGTGGCCGAGCCCGAGTAGAAGCCGCCGCCGAAGATCCACACCATGACGGCGGCGTTGCGAGGCCGCGGGCGCGGCGCCACCTGCGCACCGCGCTGCTCAGGGCCTGGCCCACGCACGCGCCAAGAACCTTCCCCGTGCACCAATCTGCTCAGACCCTCCCCCGCCCAGTGCCATGATCAGGTCATGCCCAACCATCGCACTACTCTGGGCTCTATGCTTTACGCACCGTTCAGGCCAGAGCATGGTCTCCACTCCCGCGCACGGCTACAAGACCCTCCCTGACAACACGCACACCCGCGCTCCACCCCATGAACCCCTTTTACATGCGCATCACTACAAGAGCACCTTCATTCCCCACTTCCCTAACCCACTCCCTTCTGCAAGAGCCTAATCCTCACACCGCTCTGCTAAGATAGTGTTGTAGGCTCCGCTACAAGACCCACCCTCACCCACCACACTCGAAGACAACTATTCCCCACACCACTCTTCCCCATTCATTCTTTCCGGGAATTGCTCCCCTGGGCTCAAAGCACCGTTCTCCTCATACCCGTCCCCACGCGCCCACGTAAAACATGGTTGCACACTGCTGTACTATGTACTTATCCAAAACCCTATCCTATCTCATATGCTACTTTTCGAATAGCCAACCTCATAAATTTCTTTCTTCACTCAAAAGTTTAAAGAAATAATGAATGATGAAGTTGTTTCGTTTCTATCCACTGTTCTCTGGTTTGAGAGCTATTCTTACTTCAAAAGATTTACGGATTATGCATCTAAAATTAGAAATTACATAGCAGGTGAGAAATACAAGATGTTGCAATATAAACGTGTGGCAGTAACATTTAATAATTAATTGGAAGTAAATAAAGAAAAATAAAGACAAGAATAAATAAAAGAATAATTCTTCTCTATGATAGTGCTACAGCAAAACACACGATATTTTCAAAATATTTATTTCATTCGAATGGTTATTGCAATTTAGTTAGGACGCTGCAAATTAGTATTTGGACGACATCGACACTAATACTAATAGTGGGGGAAGCCCCACCCCAGCCCGCGCGTACGCACCACGTTGATGTAGAGGCAGTCCTCAGAGAGCGGCGTGTTGGGGTTCCAGACGGCGGCGCCGCTGAAGTCGCCGAAGAAGGTGTCGATGATCTGCACGCACGAGTTGGGCGGGCGCGTGGCGTTGAGCACGCCTTCCCAGCGCTCCACGGGGCGCGGGTGCCGGAAGCGCAGCTGCCCTGCTCGCACGCACACGAGCACGCGCACGCGCCAATACGAGTCAAAGAGGCTACACTTTGGTTCGCAAGCGCCGCGACACGAGCTCAGATTAGAGGTGCAAAAATAGAAGTCATTTGTGAAAAATAGAAGGTGCTTCTGACACATTTATCTATTATGACAACTTCAGAATGTGACCTGCCCAACATTTGTGCCTAAGGAGTTGCTTTAAATTCAGAAGTAAATGTCATGTGCAACTTCGTTTTATGAAATTTCTCATTGCATGCTCATTGTCAAAACGTGTTCAAGCTCATAAAGCCATAAAGCCCATAAGCGCATAAAAAGTTTGTAATATTTAGTCCAATAGTAAAGTAATGTGGTACTCAAAAGGGCAAATAGCGCAAAACTTTACTGTAGTTTTGATAGTAGGTTTCTATACGTTTTTGGGTGTCTGAACACAAATATACGATTTCCCAACAACAATTTTGCTTAGAAACAAAAGTTTTGAAAAACTACATGCGAAGTCATTGGAAGCACTTTAACTCACAAATACAATAGTATTTATAATTTCAGGAAATATGCATGTAGACAGCGAGATCTTTAAAACGTTACACTTGTGTACTTTGAAAAAAAAAACAATAAAAAACAAATATCTCAAAATGAACTTTACGGCATATATTAAAGAGTGTAATTTGCACTAGCCGTTCCAAAAGGTTGAAGAAAAAATTATAGTAGCCGCTTATGTGAAAATGGCGTATGTGGTTTTCAGAAAATACTGGATTTTTAACTAGTTTCCGCAGAAAATGGTTGGGTTTTCGATGAACTTTATATGACATTCTTTTAATTAGATGTACGCATACAATAATGTGAACAGATTGCCGATAATAAATAATTATGACGTGGGAGACAAGTAAAAAATTATTTGTTTGTAATTTTTAAAAAACAAAAGAATAAGGCAATGCTGCGTTTATGTCACCACATGGAGTACATTTAGCACTACTCTTACCAAGTGTAATAAAAAAATTTGCTGTAATAAAAAAGGTGCCGATCTCGAGAAAAACTTGTATGTGTTGTTTTAAAATTGCACATATTGCACGCAATACTACGTAAAAACGACTACAATTTTCACAAAAATGTGACAGACCATAATCAAAGAGCTCACTATACAGAACAATTTTCATTGAATGAAAAATCTCTATCTTCTATTTTTTTGTTGTAGGAAAACGCTTTCAAAATTTCGAAATTTTCCATATCAGAGTTAACCTTGAAAATTAGACATAAGCCACATTTATAAGTATATTTTATTATTTTCTTAGGAGAATTTTAAAGAAAAAATTTGGAGCCGTTTTTGAGAAAATTATAAAAATTTCCGGAAGAATTCATGCGAAGTACTCAATAAATTAATGATTTTTTTCAAAATCGCAAAGCTTTGATGCAGGCCAGATCGGCATGGACGTATTCAGTTTGGAAAAAGTCGTACTCATAGTTTGTGTGCTAGTATTGTTCATATACACCAGACAGAAAAAAAATACAAAAACAAAATTTTCTCAAAAACGGCTCCAATTGTTTTACTTTAATCTGTTGGTAAATGCATGCTCTAATGCGATGTAAATGTCATATTGCTCTAGTCTTATGATTTTTCAAAAATAACAAAATTGTTATTTTTAACTTATCTCTCACATCGGTAATATTTATATTAGTGGCAATTTGTTGAATTTTCGAAAAATCAGAGTTAACCGTGAAAATCGGATCTATACCGTTCTACTCACACAAGAAATTTTGTGCAAGAAAGAAATGTTACTCTATACAAGAAATGTTACTCTATTCTCCCAAGAAATTGAAAGAAAAATTGTTAAACCGTTTTTGAGAAAATTTTGAAAATGTCCGGAGGGTTTCATGTAACATACCCCCAAATTTATAGTAGTTGTAAATAATGGCAAAGGCTTTCCCGCATTAGTTTCCTATTTCCTTTGGTCTCGGCTAGCTACTCGGACTTGCCACATACTCCTGCCAGGTTCAATCTATTGCCACACAAAGTATTTTTTTTAAAAATATTTTCTCCATTTTTCGGGTTTCTAATAGTAGATCGGAAATATTATTTTAAGAATGTTAAAGAACAGTAAAACCTCTTCCTAAATCGCAATTTTCTATGAAAAAATTGGAGTCGCTTTTAAGAACATGGCATTGAAGTGTTACCGTAAATTCGAAATTTGAACCTCTTTTCCAAGAAAACTATTGAGTTTTCATAAAACTTCACATGAAGTAATTTCAAGTGCTTCCAGTCACAAATGCGATAGTTTGTACATATCGCTGGAAACGACGCATATTAACGACGGCATATTAACGCATAACGACGGCATATTAACGACGTGAGAAATCTTTCAAAAAATATTATTAGTGTAATTTTAGATAAAACAAGAATAAAACCGAAATGAACTTATGTCACATTAAAAAGTGCAAATACACCATCCCTTCGAAAGGTGTGAAGAAAAAAATTGTAGCAGTTTTTGAAAAAATGGCGTTTGAGCGTTTCTGAAAATGCGGAATTTTGAGCTAGTTTTTACAGAAAACGGTTTTCGAGAAACTTAATCTGACATTATTTAAAGCACATGTACTCATAAATATAATAATGTTAAAAATTGCTGATAGTGTAAATATTAATGACGTGAGACAGAAGACAAAAAATTAAAAATCAAAAGAATGGAGCAATATGGAGCAGGCTGTGTTATTCACAAAAAATAAATAGCTTTTGAGTTATTGTGAAATAAATGAAAAATGGCGTGATTATAACACTTTTGCTTAAAAAACGTGCAAAACTCTAGTTGGCAAATGTGATATTCGTGTTCATTGAGCCTAACACCTTGAAGGAGTCCAATTTCAAAACTTCACGATAACTTTCCCTTATTTCCTACGCTTTGAGTGATTGTTCGCACGCGTGTGGAAGGGCACTCACCGACGGGCTTCTGCGCGTACGGGATGCCGAGCCACGCGTCCATGAGCTTGCCCGAGGGCGCGGTGATGGTGGCGCCCCGCACGCGGCCGCGCGTCGTCTGCACCACTAGCGAGTCCTCCTGCGAGGAGGAGGCCGGCTGGCGGCGCGGCGGCGGCGGCGGCGGCGGGGGCGGGGGCTGCTGCGGTGCGGGCGGCGCGCGGCCGGCCCGCCCCTTCATGTCGAGGTCGAGCGCGGCGGCGGCGGCCGAGTCGGCGGCGGCGAGCAACGCCATGGCGACATGCGGCGGCCGTGGTGCGGTGACGCGCCGGCGGGGGCGGGGCCGGGCGCCCAGGCCGCCAGCGCGGCCAGCAGCAGCACCGCCGCCTGCATCGCTGCGTACAACACACACACGCACACTACTTACACTACATACTTTTTAAGTTATTTATTTAATAGTGCCACACCACTCCCACTTGGGCACCTGGACAACATTAATGGGGAGTGGGATGTAAACGGCGAACCAAATACTAAATTTCAAAACAGTTCATGGAAAAACTATTTAACTACAACCACTCTATAAATTAAGTAACATACTGCTATCCATTAATTTTTATACCTTCAATTTTGAGTATAGTATGGTATGGTAAGAGCATATATTTGTTGGATATGTTCTGTATTTCTCATACTTTCCGCGGCTGTACTGATAGCCAAGCCCTTTTGCCCACTAAATTGGAGATTGCCCTACCTGCGAGAGAGAAGGCGACGGTCCGCACCCAACACCAAGGGGAGTGAATATAAGTGGGAAGGACCATTGACCCATTTAAAGCACAGGAGCTAGCTAGAGCCGGAAAGGGTGAGGTGTCTCGGTTCAAAGCAGTGGTACATAAAGCCGTATATAATATCTCTCATTATTTGTAATGGTTAATGTAGTATTACTTTAACCCGCAAAAATGTACATTCATACTGGGATTCAAATACAATGGTTCCGCACGCAATGAGTTTTTTCACTATATTAGCAGGCAAAACTTCTGACGCATCAAAAAGAAAATTGAATGGTTGCAAATTACCTATAGCATTTTATTAAGCGAAACTTAAACAAATATTTTATTCAAAGAATGTATACCTTCATTCGATTAAAAATATAAATAAAATTTTTAGCAGTTTTTGATAAAATATTAAATTGTGGCATTGCACATTGCAACGCTGCGCCGATGAAAGCTGACCTCTACAGGCCTGTAGTTAAATTTGCAATATCTCTTACTCCAGTGAAATGAATGATAACCTGATAAGGAAGCCTGGAGCCTTAAAGAGGTTGAACGATTTATAAATCTGGAATAATTCAGGTTATTTTCGGTAAAGTTTGTCATATACAACATTATTAGCAATATAATTTGTATCTTTACAAAATATTTTTTACGCGACTGGATTTTATTATTCTAAAATACTAATTGGCTACCTTCTCGAAAAGTATAGGCCCTATGTATGAAAGTCAATGGATATTCACTTCATTTAAGTCTTTCTGACTAATTAATATAAAATAGAATATATATTCGTACAGAACATTTAAATTATGGTTGTATAAAATACATACTCTTATCAGAAACGTAAGGGTTATTTTCTTGGCATAAAAGTGAACGCGAGGGATCTGTTTTTCAGTGTCCAACAGAGGGATCTCGTGATATATCAATGTTTTGCAGGATATCAATTGAAAATTCCATGTGTTTGTGCGATAAAATACTAGGAGACTTCAATGACCGATCAACAGCGAACCTACAATTTTACTAACAAAACGATCTCAAAATATCAATGATAATTACTCATTACAAACTAATAGGAGTAAGAGTGTACGTGATAAGTTTAATGTGTTATTAACTACACAGTGCATTTTTTATTAAGAATCTCAATTTCAAATTTCATGCTGAATATAAAGTGTAATCACTATCTAATCGAACATAGCATTCGTGTAAGAGTAACTACTGGATTTAGTAACTCATTTAAATAACAGTTTTGTTTTGATGCTATCAGCAATGTTTTGAAGTGAAAACGAAAGGATACCATCCGACTCATTGATAAAACTGTTTTGTTGTTCCCAAATATAGGATTATATTTCATGGTCCAAGGATTGGGGCGCAGATAATCGAAAATAATCTGAAAATACACTCATCCAATGATATTCATAACTCGCATATTTATGCGTTGAACAGAAAAGGTCCGGTTAAAGGGTATCACAATTCACTTTGAACAGCAAATAAATCAATCATAAGTCCGCAAAGGAAAGGGTTAGACAAGTGACTTGTACGTCATTGTATAGATCTAAAAGGGCTTTTTTAAAATTTAGATAATCTAAAACATTTGTAAGAGTAAAGAGTAAAGTAAACGATTTTGCAAAACTAAAATTTGAACATCATTAAAAATTGGGTATTTTAGATAATACCGTCCACGTTCAAAGGCAGGAAGTAATAGGTTAGATAAGGAAAAGCCTGACCACTTCGACCAGTTCCTACCAAACGAAACAAGCCCAAGAAATCAACAGAATACGTCTTCGGTAGCGAAGTATCGCTGACGCACTGGATGCCGATGTTGGACTGCCGATCGCGTAGATCAGTCCAGAGCCTACGGTGGAAGAAATCCACACGTTTCCTTACTGATTTGATGTGTGACCGACATACGAACAAAGAAACGTTTCAAGTCGAAAATGATAACGGTAGTGTACAGATGAGAGTAAAAGTAACGGTAGGCAGAGGGGAGAGATCGTTTCCAACTTTTTACAGTGAAACAGAGTAAACTCTCTAACGATCTTCTTTATAACTACGTTGTAAAGCAGTTGTAAGTCGTTAATAAACTACGCAACAAATTTCAGAAAAATATTGAAAAAAAAGAAAAGTTATAGAAAATTGATTACATTTAGAATAATTGGGTAGGATTCTAAAAGAAAGAAGAAAAATACATTTATTTATTTTTATTAATATTTATTTATTTTTATTATTTATTTATTAAAGTTTGCGGTAATTTATGCACTTCATATACAAAACTCTAAGAGAAAGAAATCATGCAGTGCAAAAAGTATCGTTGCACAGGAATTAACTGACACTTGAAAGCAACGGATGTTTAAAGTTCTGCTAGTAGCTCTTATAAAATGTTTGATAATTGGAAATTAATAATTTCCACACAACAAACGTTATTTCGTAAAATAAGAAAAGATGAAAAAATGCTTGTAATGCACTAAAAATGATCAATTTGTTTTTCTGCTAATTTTCTTTTTATTTAAGATACACTGGTGACCCACACAAATATTTGCGTCACAAAATATCATAATGAGATTACAAAACCCAAATATTCAAGGTTAATAACATAATAAAAGGTATTTGTACATTTACAAAAAAACTATTCGAAGATTTTATATAGGAATTGTAAAAAGAGCTTTAAAAATCGCACTTTCAATATAATATAATGGTAATTTAAAATGAATTTAATTTAGTTTTAAGCAGTTGTAAAAAATATTTGCAAACACAGAAAATTTATCTTGTTTATATCTCATAACACTTTCCAAAATTCTAGAAAATGTCAACCAACCAACAACCCAGTCCAAAAGTGGGTAACGAACGTGAATGGTTACGAAAACAAGGATTCACATTTGTGTGAATGACGAGAAACTCGGGGGACGCAGAAGGGAACACGAACCGTTAGAAGACAGCGTGTGATTTCATGCCCAGTGAATGGACGCGCGCCCGAGTCCCAGGGCGGCAGCCGTCGGCGGCGCAGAGGATGGGAGCGCCGTCATCAAACAGCCTCTCGCGGCGACCTTTCAACCGCCGCCGTTCCGCTCCGCCTGCGCGCCGCCCCCGCAGCATTCCGCGCCATCCCCTCCGCCTGCGCCACGCCCGTCAACCACCACGCCCACCCGCGTCGCCCCGCAACGTCCCACGGTGCCCTGCGGTCACCCAGCAGCCTTAGCGGTCGGATGACCCCGACTCGCGCAGCGGACGACCCGACTCGCGCAGCGGACGACCCGACTCGCGCAGCGGACGACCCGACTCGCGCAGCGGACAATCCGACTCCCTGGCCCGACTCTCGCAATGCCGACCAGACGCGTGAAGTGGTGATCAAATTTGATTCGATCAATTTTTGTCGAAAAACAGTAAAACTTAATGTGATGATGAAATAAATTCTGAAGTTTGAGAACATGTTGGCATGTTTTCTTGAGCTCCAGATTCCATTCCCTTACCTTTTCCTATACACAAGTGAATGATGAATGAAAGTATTATCAAGAAAGGTAAGCAAAATTTGATATACATTTTTGCTTCCGAGTTATGGAAAACTTATTTTCCTCTGTATACGAACGAGTGCTTTACTTTTATAGTATTGCTAACAAATGAACAAACCATACCTTTGCTACTACTCCTTTAACGCAAAAGGAGAGACCAACACAACGTGAGTATACATGCGATTCTATATTTTTACCCAGAAGCAAAACATGGTGCCATATCAGCATTTGCTTACTGATTCAGGGAAACTAGTCAAAAACCTTGATCGTGATGGGGTCATTGACTAGGAATGTGAAGTAAATTACTCGTTATAGACATATTTAATCTTTAACATTATATTTAAAATGAATTAGACGCTCCCATTCTGTACCCTACGATCACACGCACCATGCACGGATCTCACTTGCCCCGGCCCGACTCGCTTCGTCCCGCAGCCAGTCTCTCTGATGCCGCCTTCTCCCCCCTCTCTCCGACTCCCCGTCTGAGCCCGAGCAGTCACTCCTACCGCTGCCCGCGCCGTCGAATCGTCAAACCGATTTGCGCTGGCGCGTGGGCGGGGGGTGGAGGCGGAGGGGGAAGTTCCTGCTCGCAAAGTGCTCCGCCGAAGCGCAGAGCTGCGGAAGGCGGTCGGCGGCAGAGAGGAAGAAGGGGAGGGGCGGGAGGGGGGCGCGGCGTTTGTTCTGCCTCTTGCGGCGCCGCGCACCGTCGCTTCCGTACGCGCGCTGCCTCCCCCTCGGAACATTTCGTTTCGCCGCTGTCCCCTCCCGGCCCCCTCCCGGCCCCCGCCCGCCGCGTGGAGGGGGCGGCATTGCGCGAGCAACGCAGAAAGGACAGAAAGTTACACGTCGCGAACGGTGAACGAGCGTGGTTCAAGTGCAAAGCGATGGGGAACGTGGTTAACGAGCGCGGAGAAGAACGCATTGATTGGAGATGAGGCGAGTCAAAACGAGACGTCATACAAAGCAAGCTCTTGCTAGGCTAGATGAGGTGAAGCTATGTGCGGTGAGGAGAAGTAAAGCGAGGGAGATTGTACCGTAGCAAACATTCACGAAGAAAACCTACTACCTTTTCACTCTTTTCGCTTGCTGCAACAATTGACATAATTGTAGTTAGGAAACA